ATAGGCCTTGAGGTTATGAATGCTGTGAAAGTGTATAAGACGCACAAGTACGTTTTTTTTATAAGAAAACTTTTTCTTTATCAAATTAAAGGGCACAAAATTTATAGGAAAAAAGGGAGCACTATTCTAGATTTCGAAACCCAAATGGTAAATTTTACTCAAAATATTGTAACCTTTAGGGGTGGGCGCAGGTCGGTTCAGTTCGGTTCTCTTTACTATTCTAGATTTCGAAACCCAAATGGTAAATTTTACTCAAAATGTTGTAACCTTTAGGGGTGGGCGCGGGTCGGTTCGGTTCGGTTCTAAAGAGAATCGAACCGAACCAAAATTTTCGAGTATCTAGTAAATGGAACCGTGGGATCCAAATATAATTATAGAACCGTTCGGATTCGGTTTCGTTCCGTTCGGTTCTGTACTATAATTAAAAATTTTAACATTTATAACAACATTATATAAATACAACTAATGATATATTCAATGGTTTTGGAATGTCAGAGACTAGTAGACTACCTTATTCAAATGATCGCTGCGATTAAAATTTTGGTCGACGGAGGTCACAGCGTCGGCCGATGATTGTATAGGTTTTGGAATGTTAGCGAGGCTACGAGAGTGAGTGCAAGAGTCGAGACAACGTTATGCACTTTAATGTAGGTGTTTATGGTTATTTAGTGGATTGAATCTTGTTGGGCTAAGAAATAAAACACTAAAATGGGTAATTGGGCCAAAAATTAAAAAATTAGAAATGAAACAAATTATTGGGCCAAAAATTAAAAAATTAGAAATGAAACAAATTATTGGGCCAAAAATTTGGATTTAAAAATTGTTAATTTGTTTAGAAAAAATTAAAATTGAAATAATTTGATTTACTCAATATAAAAAAAAAATTAGAAAAATTCGGTTCTTCGGTTCTAGGTCTAGGACCGAGAACCGTCGAGTTCGGTTCGATTTGGTTTGGATTCGGGTTTGATTCGATCGGTTCGGTTCGGTTCGGGAGATTTGTCCAATCCTAGTAACCTTGGTATTTTGTAAAATATATCAAATAAAAGATTTTATTGAATAATAGGTAGCAGTTATAATTTATACTAGGAAAAATTGTTGCTGCGGTCCCTAACTTTTTCATAAATTTTACCCTAACCGTCACTTCGTGTCATATCCGTTGTTTCAAACCTTTCAAAAGTATGTATCTAGGGTCCACCCATCCATTTAACCATTAATTGATTAGAAAAGTCAAAATTTGACCAATTTTAACCTAATTAAAAAAGGTAAATTGATTACTTATCAATTATCACATTAGATAAATAAAATCAGAAAAAAATCAAATATTTTAAGTTTTAGATAATTTGGATATTCATTTTTATAGCACGCATAAATTTGAGAGAGATGACCGCTGAAATATTTATGAAGGTCGGGCACAAGTCACCTAGAAAATGTCAACACAAGGCACAAAGCCCTCTTAGAGAGAGAGAGAGAGAGAGAGACACCGGAGGAATCTTAAATATATCCATATACAACGTACTAGGTTTGAGATTGTCACAAGGTATAGAGGGAGTAGTTAATCAATTTGTTTGAAATTGACTAACTTCTGATTTAATCGCACCTGAAAAAAGAAAAAGAAAAGGAAAAAGAAAAAGGAAAAAATAAAATAAAATGACAAGTGCCCCCTTAGTAGTTGGAAGGTCCAATCACTATAAAACATTATTTCGTCCCATTAAAGTGTGTAGTCAATTTATTGCACTTTTGTATTATTGCCAGAGATCTTAGTTCACGTATGTATTTGATCTTATTTTAAAGTTACTTATTTTAATAAATATTACTTTTCACAAGTAAAAATTACTTCACTAAAAAGTAAAAAGTAAATTTACTTTAATAAATGTAATTTTTAATCTTAGCCAAACATGTTGTTTGGAATGTTTTGGGATATATTACTCTTGAGTTCTGTTTAAAGTATGTTTTCTTTATATGATAAAAATGTTTATTAAATTTAATTAGAAGTAGAATTAATTTGATTAAATTGCTTTTTAAATTTATCGTTTATTCATTTTAAATTCTTATTTTCTTGGTCAATACCATAATAAATGAAAAAAGTAAACTAAATAAAAGTACATTCAATTTGTCTAACATTATAATACTTTTCAAATGATATGTAAGGGCAACTAGCATCGTGACAATTAATCTTATTTCTATTATAAGTTTTTAATTGATAAGACGTTACATGTTATGTCACATTACATTTATAATCTTTATTTAGTCGCGTGAGCATTAAAATTATAACAAATCATTAAGAAATCACAAGAAAATCATTAATTCGATAATAAATTAGTGCACCGACATATCTCGAGGGGTTAAATTTGGATTATATGGCATACGCCCTACGTTTTATATCCGGATGTCAACATGTGATTTACACGGTCATTTTATTTTTATTGCTTTTTTTTTCATAAAATGATTTTGAAAAACCATAATATTAAAATCATTGTACGACCATCTCATCAAATGTCGAGCCTTCATATCATGTTATTTATGTTGATACTAAGGCTATGTTTGATAACCCAATTTCTTTCATGAAAAATAAAAAACAAATTCTAACTTTCACTTTTAACCTGTTTGATTGACAAAATTTTCTAGAAAATTGATTTTCCCACTTTGGCCTTCCGTCAGCATTTTCTTGATTTTCATAGTGTTTCGCGCGGGTTAGTCGCTAACAATTAAAAAGGGATCAGACGATTGTGTAAGGGACAAACCTCTTGAGACAAAGTTCCAAAAAAGGGGCATTTTTATTGGCGATGACTTTACAATTGGAAAAATAAAATAGAATGTCTCCAAGAGACGCAAACACATGAGTTACTGAAAAGAAGTGTTTAAATCTAAACTAAAAAATTGAAAGTTATATATTCTCTGTTTGAGAGTGTTTGAATCGGGGTCCTTTGCTCCATGTCTTTTCTTCCTTTTATACTCCTTGGATGATCTCTTCGTGATCAACCGCTTAAAAACTGGTTGATTGTTTTATAACTGCTTACTTTCTTCATAGTGGCCAACTTGTCACGAAACTACCTTCTCTAACTGCTGTCATTACTTTTTGTCGTTCAACCGTCTTCATTTGAATTCCTTGAATCGTAGAACGTGATAGGCTACTCAATAACTGTTTCATTAACCGCACCTTTGTGTAACCATAACATCTTATGTTTGCTAAGATCTTGAACGACTCGAAGGTCTGGGCAAGAACAGGGTCACAGTTTTGGGCGATTGCATGGCAATCCATTCGCTCAAATCTTAGGCGACTTGTAACCTTGGACGATGGTATTACCGCGTTCATGAGCTTCCCTATTTGGGCCTTTATCTTGCATTGCCTGATTGGGCTGTTCTTTGGGCTATCTGATTTGTGGATCCTCCAATTGGACTTCATTCCTTAGGCTATTTGATTTGGGCTGAACTTTTGTGTGTTAATACATGGCTTTTCAATTCCCACCAAAATGGTGGGAAATTGTTTTCCATATTTTCTTTTTATTTTATTATTATTATTATTATTATTATTTTGCAATTTAAAAAATTTCTAGGAATAATTATAAACGGGGATATCCCTTAAATTGACATTTTTTATGTAAAACAAAGCCAAACGAACACCAAAAGACATGATTTCAATTTTTTTGTTTTTCTTGGAATTTTTATTTTATTTTTTTGCAATGAAAATAAATTTTAGGAACAATTATAAAAGATGTTATCTCTTAAATTGATAATTTTCATAAAAAATAAAACCAAATAAACACGAAAAGACATTTTTATTTCAACATTTTTCAGCTAAAAATTTATACCAATCAAACACAATAATTGATAATTCCCAATAAAACAATTTCTAAATAATTCAATTCCCTGAAATTCGTTTTCTTTCCACCCAAATTCCGCCTTTGCAATCAAACTGACCCTAATATTATTTTTATAAAGAATATGTTGTTGTCATAAGTAATTAACACTTGGTCATCACAAAGACGATGAAAGATTGGTTCATTTTACATATCTAAAGTAACTTTATTATCGAACAAAATAATAAAAGCACTTAAAACGCCGAAATCATAGATGGTATGGATAGATAATTGAAAAATACATTCGGAAAACAAAGCTATCAATAATCGAGCATTAATTCCAAGAGAAAGAAACTTCGTAGAGGCAACGCATACAAGTCCGCTTTCATTAAAGGTATTACTTAATAAGAGGTTACATATTAGATTATAATAAAAGTACGTGCAAACAATAGAAAGTAAGATGTCATTTCGTTTGGTCCATATTTTGTGAAAATGAAAATGGGTGGAATAATTTTATTTTTTTTGAAAAATGAGTGGTTCAAAAAAAAGGAAAAATTTTCAATTTACGTGTAATATTATTTTATGAAATATTGTGTGGTTGAAAATAAGAGAGGGAGAGGGAGAAATGAAATGTAATGTAATGAAAATTAGGGAATCACGAAAATTTTATTAATTCAGTTAGAAAAGTGCACCAGAACGACTCTAGGTTTCAAATTGGACTTCATGACCTTTACACACTTCATGACTTATCGACAAGCTTTACACATGGTTTACGCGGATTTTTTTTTCAAAAAATGAACATAAAGTTAAGTCATTTTTTGGTCCGTATTTTCTAAACTATATTTTTTCTCAAATTCATTTCTAATACAATTTTTGCCAACCTTTCAATCACGTGTTTCATCAATTCTAATAAAAATTAACTAAAAATTTCATTTTTAAATAAATAAAACGTGATATAAAAGACATTGTTGGACTCGTTTTTAACAAACGTTTTACTTCTATCTCAGATTGACACTGTACATGTTATGTTGTCCACATCACCGAGCAATCACAAAGACGAATTGATTATCATTCGAACTAAAGGTCATTCTTTAATATAAATTTCTATAAATTGGTCATTAAATATCGAAATAAATAATTAAAAGGTCAAAATCTAAAAAATATAGAAACTTCGAAGAAACAACGTAGTAAATGGAATTCACATTAGTCACTTCAACCGAAACACGACACCTTTTTTCAGTCCACCAACTTTCTAGTCTATCCTACTCCCTCTCTCTCACACAGTAACACATACTCACGGAATCTCATTTCATCCGCGTCAACGAATACTGCACATGAACGGTGTTTAAGAAGGTACGGCAATTTAAGGGGAAAAATCTTGCTTTTTCTTCCTTTCTTTTTGATAAAAATTGTTAATGTAGTTTATGTAATCGTAATGGTGTGTTTGAGTGTTTGTTGAATTCTGGGTGATTTAGTCTTTCTGATTTTATGATGTTTAGAATTTTTTGTGGGTTCTTATTTTCTTAATTCTTTTTAAAATGGGTAGATTTCATAAAGGCAAAATTGAATTACGCATCTGCTAATAAATTATAATTGTTACTGTTAGAATGTTATGATTTGTACTAGTCAATATCCGAATTAAAGTCATTATGATGATTGAATATTTGGATTTAGGGATTAACTTTTACTGGAATTGAGTTAAAGTCAGTAAGGATTCAACGTGGAGTAATAGCAAACAACATTTAAAAAAAAAAAAAGGATTACACTTTTTGGACATTTGTTTTGAGACAAACATTTTATTTTCTTCTTCTGGATTGATTCATTGTTGGTGAGTAGAATTTGCGGCGAAAGGATGATAAAAATATCTCAATCTGTAATATTTAACCAGAACCTTTTTCGCTTTATATATGTAAATTTGCATGCTTGGATTATAAGCATTTTGTCTGAATTGTGCCTACATTGTTTTGATGTCTAAGAGAAACAATATTATAATTTTCGCTTCTTTTACTATTTGTGCATTTGCTAGGTGGGTGGCTAAAGGGGTCGGGGGTTGGTTGGGCAGACCGTTCTGGCTTATTGGATAATTACATGCAGTTTAATTTGGGAAGTTATCTTTTATTTCATATCTATGCTTGATCATGCACTATTTTTAGTTTTTCATAAACCAATGGGGTTAAATAGAGAGAGAGCATAGAGTGTGGGGGGTTAAAGATCTGACGCGAAAATACGTAATTTGATGATTTGTGGCTGTTCCTTTGGTTCTTAAAGGGCTGTTCAAAGTATGTTTCTATACGAACTTAAATTTGCTATATCTTAACATTCTTTCTAAGTAGCAGTGACATTGAAATTAAGAAATCCTTGTCTTTTTTGAACTTCGAGTTCTTGTATGCTTTATTCACCAGTTTCCATTCCTTGACGGCTTTTCTCATATTGATTGGAGTTATTGGATGGAAAGGTTAAAGAATTGTCATGTTGAATATTATGATAAAAAACCATTTTCCAGTTGTTTTATATATCTTATTGATGAATGATTTATATCCTTATTTGGGAGATTCCAAATTAGATTTCCTTCCCAGATCAAATTCTCCTATTGTTGTTCCTTCAAGACTTCACCTTTTGAGATAATCCAGCTTATGTATTCTTTTATCAACTTAATGTTAGAGTTTATTGTCCAACATATTATTTTACATGTTACACATTGGAGGAAAATGGTAAAAACTTTTGGATTTTTACGTTTAGGCCTACCAAAATAACTATGCTAACTATAGAATCAAACTACGAAATTCAACTTGGTACTTACCATTGAATTCTGACCTAATGAAATTTCTGTTGTTTAAAAGGTTTATTGTTGTGTTTAACTAGCTTTTTTCTTTTCTTTTTTTCGTTCTTTATTTTGACTTGCATGATTATGTTTTTGTACGAAGAAAAAATGACATATTATGTTCAATAATGAAAAATCCTTTTAGGTTCAATAAGTCATGGGTAACAAGATAACAAAAAAGTCAATTGAAGGCCGTTATTCATCTTATGGGTCCAGTTCAAGTTCGTGGAACCATGATGGCTATCCCCAGTCAACATATGATCAGCCAAGTCACAATTATGTGCCTCAATCTCCATATCAATCCTATGGAGGTCCTCCCCCTCAGTCTAATAAGAGAAAGCTGGAGAGAAAGTTTTCAAGAATAGATGACAACTACAGCAGCTTAGATCAGGTAAAGCTTTGCTCATAAATCCTTGTATAAAATGATACAAGGTAAACATAGTGAAACACGGCTGAACAGCAGATCATTACCCTATGGCTTTATTGTAAAGGACTTCTAGTGTCATACAATCTGCTGGTAATGAGCTTCTTGTTCAGAGTTGACATAATACTGAGGATACAAAGCTTTTTCTAATATAATGAAAATATGTATAATTTATACATTTAGGTTTCATGTGCCAAAAATAAAATAAAAAATAATCTTGCTGCAAATTTAGTAACACCAGTTTGTTGCTTTAAGATGATACGTAGTTGCAGCTTATACTTTGGCCATTTTACTGATTTCTTAAGATCTTTCACAGAAGGTAGTTCCACACTAACAGTCAATATCAAGCAGATTTTTTGTCAAAATGATTTTATATTTTGGTAAAAGAAGTCACTCAGAATAATTCCATTTTTGTGCATGAAAACTTGCATTAGACTTGTTGGCTATTTTACTTTATTCAAGTAATTTCGTACTGGAAGACTCAGACACTTTTCTGTGACATCTCAAGTTTGTTCACTGTTGTGTGACGTCTTCTTTGAAATGAAACACGAATTAGCTTCCAATATTGGTTTCATCTTCCTGAAATAGTTGAAATCATAGAACCCTTAAAGAGAGAATGTTTGTATCATGTAAAATGTGTTTCTGTACCTGCAACATGCAATCTGCCATTTTTGCGTCACATTGAGTTCACAGTTTTACATATGGAAAGAAGTTGAAGAACTATTTGTCTGCCATCATAAAGTGCATTTTTAAAATACTAGTCGCTATCACGTGCGTTGCACGAATTTTTTATTTGTAATATTTTTATTAGTGTATGAATTTTAGTTTTTTTGAAAAGTTTTTGAAGCAATATCTAAAAGTATTTCCATGATATAAGAAAATAATTGTAAATTATTTTTACAATTGCATAGCAGTATGTTATCTAGAAAAAATATACTTATATATTTCATGCTTGAATAAGAAATATACAAATTATTTTGTTTATATTCTTTGATAGTGTTGATATGATTGAATTGAATGTGAAGATTATATTTCTAAATTTTGTGTAATTCAATATTGAAAAATTGAAAAAAAACTCTCCACACAGTGCAAAGAGAGTTAAACCAAGTGCGAAATAAAAATAAAAAATAAAAAAAGGTGCAGAGAGAAAAACCTCTCCACACAGTGCGGAGAGAGTTGAACCATGTGTAGAGAGTTGGCAAATTCTTCGCACAATGCTGAGTAAAAAAAAAATTTTCCGCACAGTGTGAAGAGATGACAAACTAGCTCTCCACACAATACAGAGAAAAAAACTCTCCACACAGTGCGGAGAGTTGTTTTCAAATTCCTTAATTACAAGTCAAATTTTAAAATTGTAAATTTATTGTATATACAACGAAACAGAGTCGAAAAACATGGCTCAAAATCAATTATTTCTTCTTTAATTTCCAGTCACAGCTCAATTTCTGAGCATGCAAATCATATTTATGGTATTGGAAAAGAGCTTTCTCCTGATTCATACAATGAAACAATATGTGAGTTGTTCAAAGAATGGGATATTGATAGTACCATGACATTGCTTTCACAAATGGAGGCTTTAGGGTACCACCCAAATTCAATATTTTACACTTGCTTGATAATAGCTTTTGGACATTAGAAGCGGATACAATTTTCAATGAAATTATACTTTCGGGTTGTAGGCCAGGAATTAAAGTGTTCAATGCATTGCTGAAAAATTGTTTGAGAAAAAGCCTCTTGGAACTTGCAGATAAAATCTCGAGAGTTTTTGTTTTTCTCTTCACACTGTGCATCTCTCCGCATTTTGTGGAGTTCTTTTTTTGGCTCATGTGTGGAGATTTTTTTTTGTCTCATGAAATTTATATATATTAAAATTATTATTATTTTTTATGTTGTTGGCATGATGCGTGCGTGGAAGAATATTTGTCAATCACTATAAATAAAATTCTTCATAAAATGCAAAAAATAAAAATGCATAATAAATCTTCTTATTACGCTAATAAAATTACCATAATTTTTTTTTTTACAAATAACATAAAAAAATCATTTTTATCTTCAACAAAAAAACACATTTAAAAATTAGCAATTTCATAACCACTTTTTTTTTTAATTCTCGAAAATACAATTATAAAAAAGGAAACAATATTGAATTACAACATTTAATACTTAAGAAATTCAATATTAAATAAATTTTATACATTTATAACAAATTATAAATTCATATATGCAGCTTAACGTATTTGCAAGCAGTTTACCGTATTTGCAGCTTACTGTATTTGCAAACAACTTTTCATATTTGCACCTTATCGTATATGCTGCCTATAGTATTTTCAACTTACCGTATTTGAACAACTTATCATATTTTCACCTTACCATATTTGCTGCTTATCGTATATGCTGCCTACCGTATTTGCAATTTACTGAATTTTTATATACCGATTTTTGCACTTACAAATATCGAGAATGCAGAACACCGTACATTCACTTACTAAATCGAATTTAAAAAAAAAAAATCAGATTTTTATTTTTTCAACATAAGTATAAAATAAATAATAAATATATATGAAGCACAAAATATAAATGTATATGAATATGGTGCTCAATCTTCAATTTTCCAATATTGAATTGCACAAAATTTAGAAATATGATCTTCACATTCAATTTAATCATATCAACACTATCAAAGAATATAAGCAAAATAATTTGTATAATCTCGTATATTTTTTATTCAAATATGAGATATATAAATATATTTTTTTTAGATGACACAATACTGTTATGCAATTGTAAAAATAATTTGCAATGATTTTTTTATATCATGGAAATGTTTCTAGATATTGTTTCAAAAACTTTCCAAAAAACTAAAATTCATACACTAATAAAAATACAATAAATGCAAAATTCGTGCAACGCACGTGAAAGTCATTGTGTGGAGAGGTTTTTTTTTTTTTTTTTTTTTTTTTTTTTTTTTTTTTTTTTTACACTCCGCGCTGTGTGGAGAGTCCGCACTTTGTTAGGACGGTATCTGCAGAGAATGCCATCTCTCTGTACTGTGCGGAGAGTTTTGCTATGGTGTTTGCCATTTCTCAGCACTGTGCGGAGATTTTTTAATGCTAATGGGATGATGTGTGGAAGAACCTTTGTTTGACATAAAAAAATGAAAAATAAAAAATAACATCATGCATAATAAAATTGGATTCATTTACTATTGAATAAATAGTAGATCCTCCCTCCCTTTTTTTTATTAGAAGTTACATACAGGCAACTGCTATCCGACATATTTAGCCTAGTATATACTAATTGTTTCAGTCCTGTTGAGTACACACCTTATTGCTAGTTTAATGATGCAGTCTCTTGAACTATTTCTGCCATGTAAACTGACAATATAAATATTACTTTTTTGTTGCCATAGGTCACCGATGCCCTTGCACGTGCTGGCCTGGAATCTTCAAATTTGATTGTTGGTATTGATTTCACCAAAAGCAACGAGTGGACAGGTTTGCTTCCTTTTGCATGCCCAAAAATGTGTTAAAATGGAGTTAAATTGCAGTTAACATAGGTACTCTTTGGTTTTAGGGGCAAGGTCATTTCATAGGAGAAGTTTGCATCACATTGGGGATCGGCAAAATCCCTACGAACAAGCAATATCAATTATTGGAAGAACACTATCCAAATTTGATGAAGATAACTTAATTCCTTGTTTTGGATTTGGAGATGGTATTTTCTCAAAATTTTAGATTATTTCGAGCTTTATGTGTCAAAATCTTGGAGATCTTATGTGATAATATGATTCTAATATTGATAGCTTCAACACATGACCAAGAAGTCTTCAGTTTTTATCCAGACGAGAGGTTTTGTGAGGGTTTTGAAGAAGTGTTGAGACGATACAGAGAATTAGTCCCTCAATTACGTCTTGCAGGTTCACCTTTTGAATTATGCATTTTTCAATTTTCTCATTGGTCCTTACTGCCCGCCATAATACTTCATCCCCTTATGTCTGTCTCTACAGGTCCAACATCATTTGCTCCTGTCATCGAAATGGCTATCACTATTGTTGAACAAAGCAGGGGCCAGTACCATGTTCTACTGATCATAGCTGATGGACAGGTACTGATCAGTTCTGTGTTTATTGCTATTTGAAGAAGCATTTAAGCGTCACAAAAAGACAAATTAATGCTGCCCAACTGTAAAAAGCAATGATGTTAAAGAATGTGTGCCTTGCACATTTGCAAATTTCACCTTACAAATCCTTACACGGATCCCGCTCCATCGCTTAACACATCCTGTAGCTGATACCAGCAAAGTAATGAAAAAGGAATTATTAGCTGACTGTAGTCTTCTTTTTTAACATATAATTACTTTTTTAAATTTTTATACTGTTGATGGGGAATTAAGAAGTCACAAGTTGGCATTAGTTTGTTAGCTGCGTCTAAGCTTGGACGAAATTATGAGTGTATGTCGATCTTTTCTTCAACTATGCCCTTTTGTCATCGACAGAGATTTCAGTGTGCATTTGTATGTCTTGGCTTGTACATCTTTGTCTAAGCTTATGAAGGGGAAAAAATGAAGTAATTTTACTTTTAATGTTAAGTGACTTTTGCCTCCATATATGTTTGGATAACTTAAATTTATTTGTTATAAGTAAAAAAAGTGATTTTTCTTAAATTTCACTCTTACCTTACCAACAAAATTAACGTGCTGATTTTCAACTTTAATAATTGAAATAGATTGAAAACTTATTTACTTTTAAGTGCACTTTTTAAACTAAACATACTAATATGATCCGTGACTTTCATTTGATATTTAGGTGACAAGAAGTGTTGACACTGAGCGTGGACATTTAGGTCCCCAGGAGAGGAGAACTGTCGAGGCAATTGTCAAAGCAAGGTAATCTTTTCATTATATTTACTGTGTATTCATGAGCTAAGTTAGATTTCTTAAGCCATTTTTGAATAGTTTTGTTCATTTGCAGTGAATATCCATTGTCAATTATTTTAGTTGGAGTCGGCGATGGACCCTGGGATATGATGAGAGAATTTGATGATAATATCCCTGCTCGAGCTTTTGATAATTTCCAGGCAAGTTAACATCATCCGAGTTTCAAAACAAAAGATGAAGCTACATTTTGACACAGATCTTACTATCTTATATCATGTATTTCTTCTTTGTATTTCTAGTTCGTAAACTTTACAGAAATCATGTCAAAGAACATCGATACCTCCAGGAAAGAAGCTGAATTTGCCCTTTCTGCCTTGATGGAAATACCTTCTCAGTATAAAGCAACACTCGAGCTCAACCTACTTGGGTAAAATCATCCACCCCTGAAATAATGCCATGCATATTTGGCTAAGCTGGAAAAAGTACTTATTTTAAATTACTTAATTAAACTTTTTGAGCTCAGCTAAACGTGCATTATGCTGGGAAGTTCTTGCAACAATTTTCTTACCGTTCTTGAATTGCATGTTCAGTGCTTCTAGAGGAAAGGTTGTAGACAGGATTCCCCTTCCCCCTCCCAGATACGGTGGAGCTTCTTTTGTCACACCAAAGCCTCCCCATTCTAACAATTTTTATCCAAGTGCACCTTCTTCTAGTGGACATGATTCAGTTTCTCAAAGGAGTCAGCCTGCAGCCGATGCTTCTGATAATCATGTAACTCTCGTCTCTTTAAGAATTATGAGCTACAAGAAAAGTTACTCGAGTTTTGAGTGCCCATATTGACTATATTTTTCCGTTATCCATTTTTCTCCCAGCTTTGCCCCATCTGCATTACAAATCAAAAGGATATGGCATTTGGCTGCGGTCACCAGGTATACCCGGGTGAATTTTGATATTTCCATATCGCAGAAATATATTAGTTAGACCTCCTCGACTTCATCCGCTTTTTATCCTATTTTTGGGTAAACAGACTTGCTGTGAATGTGGAGAAGACCTCTTGTCGTGCCCAATCTGCCGAAAGACCATTGAGACGAGGATAAAGCTTTACTAAACAGCATGACCCTTGTAAGATTATTCTTTTCATTTCCCTAATGATGCTTCGATATGTATGATATATTCGGCATCAAATGTTTTTTGACTGGACAAATGGCTTAGCAAATTCCTTCTTTATTACCAATTCTAAAAAAATTCGTACTTGGTCATGTAATGACAGATGTTATGTTGATCTATTTTCAGATGCAATAATATTCATCATTCAGAATCTTTTTTGTATGGTAAAGAACACGCTAAATTTACACGTATTTTAGGCGCAAAAATAAGTAGTTTATTATAAAATAAAAATAAAAACAATAAAGCTATTTGTACATTTGGGATTGACACCCTGAATGACACTCCCCTCATAAGAGAGGGGGGTCCACACGTAATAAAATAATTGTGGGCCCCCCTCTTGTGAGGGGAGTGACACCCCGGATGTACAAATAGCAAAGTCCAAATGAAAATTGATAGATTTAGTTGTACTCGATTTATTCTTTTTCCTTAAATTATGAGTTCAAGTTTGAGCTATTTTGGTAACTTTTATTTTTTACCAAGAAGTTTTAGGTATGATTAAAGTTAAATTGATTACAAAGTGATTGAGAAATCTCTTTAAAAATTCTCCTATTCTTCTGTCTTGAATACAGTATTTGACATGTCATACTAAACTTCATAATGAACAAGATTCTCTCCTTTTCTGTATGCTAATACTTTTCTTCAGTGTACATAGATTCTCACGTAATCTCGAAAAACCAAACACATCATGAAGAAATTTGGGTTTTGACTTTAGGTACAAGTAAAGGCATGCATGTGAAGAAGCATACGTGGGTAACAAGTTAATTTTTAATATTTAATATTTTTGGTTTATTTTTGGAAGAACAGTGTGGTCAAGATGGGTTCCAAATTAAGAATGGCTACTGGTCGAAGCGGAACGTGATTAAAATTTATTTTAGAATATATTTAAGTTTAAACACATGAAATTATAAAAAATAAAAAATAAAAGTCGAATCGAAATCAAGATGGTTGAAGGTATAATGTTAGAAGAGTTGGGTTAGGTTCTCCACATTCTCATAGTGCAAACCAAGAAACTTCAACTTGAATTGGACATTTTTATTGTGCAACGAAATCCCTTAATTTCCAAGCTATGCCAAAATTTTGAACACAATAAAAAATTCGACCATGGCCCACCTCTTCGATAAACTGTCACATTGATTTTGCTTATAAATAAGTTAATTTCAAACATGTTGGCTTAACAAGGGGAATTATTTTACTTCTACGATAGTATATGACCTTTTTTTGAAGTCCATCTCTGTTTTCATCGTGCTCAAAGGCAACTTTTCAGTAGTTAGTTTTGGTGGCATGTAGAAACGAACTTTAAAGAAAAGCCCCTTCTAAGCAACAACCAAACATTTTCAGTACAACTTTCATTCGTCTCTATTTCTCTTATGACAGGCATTCGCCCCAGCTCAGACGGACGAGAAATTCGACGACTCGCAGCCTCATAACATGTCCATACGGAAAGGATTTTCAGTTCATTTTCATCTAAGAAATATAGGGCCCAGAAATTTGGAGTTTACACCTTAGGCACCTCCATTTACTACACATTCAATTTCAGCGAATGAAAGGATGCTTACACTTGGGTGCAGAAATTTGGTTAGGGCTGAAAAGGGGTTGATAAATGCACATTTGGAAGCTCCTCAGATCCTTATCTCAAAACAAAGGGAAGGGAATTACGGCGAAACTGGTAGATGCTATGGACTTATAAGATTCATACATCTTGAGATTCTATTTTTCCCCCCTTTTTTACTCTATTCTCGCTCGAGAAGTTATAGTTGAGAAGACCACACACTGTTTAATAAGATTAAGAAAGAGAGATATTGAATCTAATAGCATTCGAGACATGTTAGTTTATTAGTCGATTTAATATTGAATTACTTGAGAATGTTGTCAATGAAAAATTGCTGCTGAAGCAATATCTCTAAAAGTTTCAATTATTAGAGATCAAAGAAATGTGCTCATTTTTATGTGATTTTCCCTTTTAAAACTCGTTTTTTATAAAAAGCCTAAGATATTTCTCTTAGTTGTAGCGTTAAGACTTCATTTTAAAACTCTGCATACTCTCATATTATATTAAACTACTTCGTCTAAAAAACTTATTCAAGAAACATAATTACTTAATGTTTATTTTTGACATTTTGTCAATTATCTTCAATTATTTGGCATTTTCGACGAATCAACAGACATTTTTGCTTCAGATATTTATTGTTTTTTAGAATGATCAACTGTGGTTCTTTCATTTTGTGTTGCATCGCCATAACATTTTACGCATGTTGGTAGGGACAACAGGTAGCAATATTTAGTTTTTTGTAAGGTATAATGCATCTTTTTCAAAATGTCAAATTTCTATCCTCTCGTGAAGTGATCTTAGATTTTATTTTTAGTTAATTATTATTCTTTTAAAGAAATTCTCAAGAAGCTTCGCACAGCTTTCTCATCATGCAGGTTCCACTTGTATATTGTATATTTGTCTGTAGAGGGGACCCATTTTTATTCATTCCAATGAATGATCTAGATCTTTTTCTTCGAATCCAAGGTTGGAAGAATAAAGCATTTTTTGGAGTGATGCATGGACATGAATAGTGAATTTTAAATTTCTATCTAACATGATCCTAGTTTTAACAAGTGTGTATAAGCTGTAATCGCTTCTGAATTTACCCAAGTGGCGAACCAAGGGACAAGGTCGCCACTTTTCAGAATTAGTCGGGGCGAAATTCGGACACCTGAGTAAAAAAATAAATAAAATAAATAAAATTCCCATAACAGTGGAGCTGAGGTGAGCTTGCTTATGTCAGAAAATACGCCAACCTCCTTTAAATAAACTAATCTTACACAAATGATAATTAATGACTTGGAAGTACAAAGAGCTGTCACATGCTTTATACCTTTTATTTCTTTTTCTCTTTTACTTTTTCTCTTTATTACTTTATAATATTATTTTGATTCCTATGTGTAGAAAATTCTGGAGCTAGTCACAAAATTTATTTCACAATTTCGAGTGGATCATTTATAATTTTACTTTAATTAAACTGTTATGCTCAACGATTGAAGTTCATATTGTGATCAGAGTTTTTTATGTCAACATTTATGTCATGTTTTCGTTTGTCAAGTTGAAAGTAGTTAGATTAATAACTTGCTCAATAAAAAAATGAATGTTAAGAAAAAATTATAAAGTACTGACAAAATATTATCAACTTTCATAAAATACATACGAAACTCTTGTTTAGATAAATTATAGTTTGGACTATCCAATGGTACGTAGAAACTAAAGTGAATCATACCATCAAATTTTAGTATTAAAAAGAGAAAGGGATTGAAATATTTTCCATTCTATTGTCGTGTCAAATCCAATAATGAAAAATCGATACTATGCATTGTGTAATCAACCTCGTACAACACGTTTAATAAAAAACGTACAATAATAATACCTGCATTTGATTTCTTAATTCAAAAATGGATGGATGAGGGACCGCATTAGAATTTCCTTATCCAAATGAAAATGGCTTTAAATCTTTAATAGTTTACACTCTTAACAAGCAAGGAACTAGTTCCAACAGGGCTTTATTCCCTATTACCTTCACTCTTCACTATATATAACCGTCATTGTATACTTAAAGAAACCACAAAAACCAAATTATTTAGCCTTTTTTTACTCCCCACCCCACAAAAAATGGAGAAACTAAGAGCAAATTTGTCTCAACCAGCTAGGAATAAGAAAATAACTAGGCCTAATCGCAGAAATAACTTGTTATCAGATGATAGTGCAATGATGCATGAAGTTCATGCCACTCATGCTCCTACTGGTTATATTGTTGATGTCGATCCCCTTCTCTGCGTCGTGGAAGATATTCTTGATCACGTTTTTCCTGGCATTGATCGAGTTATAAATGTATGCTCGATTTTGCTTTATTTTGTTTACTAATTTAAGCCTTTTTTCAGTTAATTTACCTGTTCTGATATCATGTTCAGGGCTCTCACCACCAGCACAAAAATATGCTGGACGAAAAGAATGCATCGTTGAACTATGATGAAATCGATGGAGCATTGGCTTTTGTGATACAGAAAGTATCTTGCGAGGTTAATCTCGATTCATTTTTAAAAAGTCCTGTTTTCACTGTTCCGTAAGTACTTATTTTTGTTCACGTGCAAGCAGATGTCATGCAAGTGCTCAGGGACAAAGGCGCATGAAACAACAGTGGCTATACTCAATCAGCTTTCGAGCTATACGTGGGATACAAAGGCAGTGATATCAATAGCATCATTTGCCGTGATGTATGGAGAATTCTGGCTTGTTGCCTTAGTTCTTGAAACGAATCCACTTGCCAAGTCGGTAGCTTACCTTAAACAAGTCTCAGACATCATAGACCAATCAAGTTTGCTGAAATCCCAATTTGACACAATTAATGATCTCGTAAGAGCCGCGTTGGATTTAACCAAGTGCATTTGTGAGTTCGGGGGTCTTCCGGATGAGTACATTTCAGATGACGAGCCGCCTAAGTCAACTGCATTGGCTTATATTCCCACTGCGGTTTACTGGATCATTCAAAGTCTGGTTGCCTCTGGATCACATGTTACGAGCCTTTTAAGCATGAATCGAGAGTAAGACAAATCATATTAACACATCAGTTAAATTCTTGCCTTCCTCAAGACACAAATTGAGTCTAAATTTGGTTGTTTTGTAGGAAAAGTGCATTAGCTGCAGAGAAATGGGAACTCTCTGGCCTTAGCAACAAGCTGTCAGGCATACATGACCACCTCAAGAAGCAACTCACTCTCTGCTATCAACACATAGGTGAGAAATTAGATATCGAACAAGAAAATTGTAACAAAATTCGATGTTTGCACAATCATTATCAGCTAAGTTTCGAGTATTGCGTATAAAATATGAACATTGTGATTTATTAAAGAGCGTGAGACGAATTGCCATGAAATGCAGATGAAAGGATGCATGAAGAATACTTTCATAAGCTCGTTCGTCTATTTGAGACAACACCGCATATCGACAACCACAAGATACTTACACAATTAATCTACCCCAAGGATGATCAGTTGCCACTTGAAGAGGGCACTACAAAGAGAAAGGTATCGCAATGATGCTTAGAATTTTGTTCCAAGCTCTGTTATATTTTGCAAGAAACAATTATTTTGACTTAATTTGATGTGAACAGCATGGAGTCGAACGGCTTGTAGGGAAAACAGTCTTGTTACTAATATCAGACCTCGACATCTCTGATGATGAGCTTCGCATACTTGATCGTGTTTATAAAGAATCAAGAACTAATTCGGAATTCCAATACGAAATTGTGTGGCTCCCAATTGTAGACAGGTCGATTTCATGGAACGAAGGAGACGATTTAAAGTTTCATCAGCTGCAATCAACCATGCCATGGTACACACTGCATCATCCGAACCTGCTAGAACAGGCCGTTGCAAGGTACATCAAAGAAGTATGGCACTACGTAAAGAAACCGATTCTTGTGGCATTGGATCCACAAGGTAAAGTAGTGAACCAAAATGCGTTCCATATAGTGTGGATATGGGATAATATGGCCTATCCATTCACTAATATGAAAGAGGAAGAGTTATGGAAGAACGAGACTTGGGCACTTCCCCTTATCGTTGATGGCGTTGATCGATCGTTAATGGAATCGGTAACAATTTGATTTATTTATTTTCTTTGTTTTTTTTTTGGAGAGTATATGCTAATCTTGATTTCCATTATGTTAGATTGACGACTATAAGTACATCTGTTTGTACGGAGGAGAAGACATTGAATGGATCCGAAAATTTACAACCACAGCAAAGGATGTTGCAAAAGATGCAGACATAAGATTAGAATTGATTTATGTGGGAAAAAGTGGCAGCAGGGAGAAAGTTGAGAGGATCAACAAAATAATAAACGAGAATCAATATAGTCAATTTTGGAGTGATGTAACATCTGTCTGGTATTTTTGGACGAGACTGGAAAGCATGATGCACTCCAAGATTCATCGAGGCAGGACTGTTAAAGATGATCAAATACTTCAAGAGGCGCTGACTCTTCTTACATATAATGGTAGTGATAAGTGGGCTCTGATATGCCGAGGTTCATCGACTGAGATTGCTAGAGCCACAGGCGATATGTTCCTAACGAGCCTAGAGGATTTTTCGTCGTGGAAAGAGGAAGCACGGCAAAATGGCTTTGTCCCAGCACTCTTTGATTACTTGCGAGGTCATCACACTCCCCAGCATTGTAATCGCCTTATTCTTCCCGGTATCGATGGCGACATCCCGGAGATGGTTATTTGTACCGAGTGTCACCGCCCAATGGATAAGTACTATATGTATAGCTGCTGCAAAGATTAAAAGTTATAATATACTTTGCAATATTGTTGTATTTTATCGAGTACTGTGTACCAGATGTGCACTTAATTCATTCCTCACTGTTCATGATGTACTAAAGAAGAACAATGATGTCTTAAGATCTAGGTCTCTTGTAAGGTCTAGACTACTATGTGTGTGTTGAGTGTTCTAATGAAGAATAATTTTCAGTTCTGAATTATTCTCTTTTTCTTCTTTAAGATTCCACTTCGAAGAAATTTTAAGCCAGGAAATTCATATATAAGTACTAAACTACACATTAGGCAACACTGGTCGATTACATGGATCATTCTACAACATTCTCTGTGTTCTTCCAATGGTGACCTTGACTAAAGGCGACGTAGGCAATCGTCTAAAACCTCACTTTGGTGAGGGCCCCAATTTATATAAGGTTGATTGGTTGGTTGCAGAAAAACGAAAATTATATTTATGAAATCATTTAAAATGGAATTATCAATATGCAAACATAAGAATCTAATAAAAA